TTGATCTTGCTTCCATCCAGTATTTCCTCACTACACTCCCTTCCCTACGTTTTGGAACAGTAATGTATATCCTGTGCCATTATGTGTTGGACGTATTGTTGGCATTTCGGGCAGATCGGGATGGGTCAGGTATTCTGGCGCTCGGGAGCCACAGAATACTGAGTGTTACACAGCTCAGGTGGAAAGGTATCCTGGAGCTCAGGAACCAAGGACCACCACAGGTTGCAGTAAGCTTAGCTGCTTACAATCCGGCCTCAGGGAAAGGCTTCCCCAGTGTATCCACTCCACTCCAGCAGGACAGGGTATTCCAGCTGGGCATGTTCGCCCAGTGTAGCGGTTTTGCTCGGTAGGAGGTTTCTCCAGAGTTGCTACAGTTCAGCTCTGCTCGCAGAAAGCCAGGAGCTGAGTGTAACTCCAATCTGCCAAGGAAAGGTTTCCCGGGCAAGTATTACAGCCCTGCTCTGCTCTGTCACTGCAAAAGATCTTTACCCAAAGCTCATTGAAGGGGTTTATTGGAAGGAAGAATCCAGGAGAGTGGCTGTCCTTTGCCAGAGTAACAGTGGGCTGGGTAGCACAAACAGACACAAGCTAAGCAGACACAGGGTTTATATAGGGCTTCCAGGGTGGGGATTGGTCAGATTTTAGTGCTGAGCTCAGATTGGCTAGAGCTCTGCTCGAGGATTGGTTAGTTTTCTGCACAGGGTCAGATTTGGCTCCGGTTTCAGGGCCAAAGTGTGTTTCTTTCTCTGGTCCTTTTTAGCCTTTTGGCTCCAATTTTAGGACCAGGGTGCATTTCTTTCACTGACTCTGATTCCAGGGACAAAGTGTGTTCTTTTGGCACTGGTTTCAGGGCCAGGGTGAATTTCTTTAGTTCTGGTTGCAGGGCCAAAGTGTGTTTCTGTGGCTCTGCTCAGGGTGTGTTTCTTTGACTGGTCCCTTTCCCTACACGTATGTGATCTACTTTTTTTATTTTACAGGAGATTACAGTTAAGAGATTGCATGAATCTCAAAAGAAATTTGCAACTTTGGACTTTTAAACACTGTTGAGACTATGGGAACTTTTGAAGTTGGACTAAATGCATTTTGCATTCATTATGATATATCATAATTCCAGGGAAGGGAATGCTGTTGCTTGAATGTAATTGGCCCCCATAGTCTCTTAAGGAATGGCCCTATTAGAAGGTGTGGCTTTGTTGGAGTAGGTATGGCCTTGTTGGAGGACATGTGGGGGTGGGCTCTGAGGTTTCCTATGCTCAGGATATGCTTGGTGAGACACTCAGTTCCCTTCCTGTTGCCTAAGATCTAGAACTCTCAGCTCCTTCTCCAGCACTGCCCTGACCTAGTAGACACCTAGGGGAAAGATGGAGGACAGGGGGATACAAGAATGGATGACAAGACAGGATTCTGATCAAGTTGACAACTTTATTTGTCCCTAAATGATTTATATAGGAGAAGTGAGGAGGGGAAGAGGGGAGGGTGTACTTGCAGCTGCAGGGCAAGAGGTCAGTGGGAGAGGTGGTCTGCTGCGTTGCCTGGCAACCTAATCTACAGGGCAAGAGGTCAGGCATAGGACCTTCTATATTGTTTGCTAACATGACAGCAGGGTCTGATCCTATCTTATTACAATTTACTATTGCTCAGGCCTATCTCTGGAGGACCTTGTAGTTTTCCAGTTAAGCTAATCTTTAACAGACAGGTAAACTGCAGGCCTGTTTCTTGGAATTTGCTTTATGTCAGAAGGGGTGGCAGGGTGGTCTCAGTGTCACGTCTTCTCTATGAGTACGTGATGCAGCCTAGCTGACTGATGGCTGGAGGCCCCTGACACAGCACCGAGTCTGCCTGCACACCACCATATCCCACCATGACAATAATGCATTAAACATTTGAACTGTGAGCCACTCCAATTAAATATTTTCCTTATAGAGTTGTCAAGGTCATGGTGTCTCTTGACAGCAACAGAAACCCTAAGATAAGTTTAGTTCCCAAGTCTGAATAATATTCTGGCAAGAAACTGTTTAGTCTCTCACACACTTGGCACACCATATCACAGGGTTCCCTCTCACTATTTCTCCAAAGCTCTGTAAACTCTGAGAGCGGGGCCTGATTTCATTCCCCAGCCTCCAGCACTGGTCCGGCACACAATAATTATGTTTAGTGCATAGAATGGCCTCCCATTTTCTTGTCTGTGTGGTAGAGTAATTGGGATCCAGGGATGTGACTGTTAGATTTAGGAGTACAAGGTGAAGAGACAGATGGAAGAAAGAGACCAGAGTCTGACCTTGACAGGCGAGCCTGTTTATTAGTGCACACAGAGACATGAAGGGGCTTGGGAGGGGAAGAAAGCTGCCTGGGACCTTATATAGGGGTAGGTGAGAGGTTTGGGAATGAGGAAGTTGAGGCAGCTGTAGGGGGCTATGTGAGGGTCTTCATTTTCTTCCTGGGATTATCTGCTTCAAGCAAAAGAGATTACCTTGGGAACAAGGCTGTCTCAGAAGACATTCCCTTCTGAGTTGTGGCTGACCTACTGAGCAAGGTCAGCTGAAATCGCATAGGAATCCCTTTTGTACTTTGGAGGCACTCTGTCAGTGACACCGGACAGTAATCCCAGCACTTAGGAGGTAGAGGCAGGACGATCAGGCATTCTAGAGAGGTGGAGGCCAGCCTGGGCTACACGAGACCTTGTTTTTAATTAATTATAAAGCTATTTGAGTTACAAGATCAAGAAACAACAAATCTGGCGCAACAGTCCCAATTTTGCAGGAAAGTCTTTTATCCTTGCGTTTGCATTGCATTTTCTGTCTTCGCAGGACTCCACCGGTTGGGAGGAGCAGGGACTACAGTTCCCATGAAACCTCTGGGTACTACGTAACGCCCGCCCTACGCAACCAGGACGGCATTTCCTAACGAGCTTCCCGACGTCCCGTAAAGCAGATCTGGGTAACGCAAGCTGCGCAGCGAGCACAGAGGTATCACCCTAGGGTTCGGAGGGGACGTTAGGGCTCTGACTCAGTCGAAAGGACGAAGTTGCACTCCCTCCATTTTTACTGCTCCCAGCCATGCCTTTCCAGTGCCCTTAGAGCCCAGCGCTCCGGCCGTTCGAACAATCGCCACGCAGTGCAGAGGCGGTTCTGGGGTGCGTGGGGAGGGTGTGTGAACCCAGCTCTCAGCCCCACGCCCTTCGTCTCTCCGCAGCGGATGCTGAGGGCGCAGTTGGCCCGGTGCACGGTCTCCATGGCCACGCGCGCGTGTGTGTCGCTGGACAGCGCGGGATCGGCGGCTGGCGGGCCAGTGGAGGCCGCTATCCGCGCCAAATTGGAGCAAGCCCTGAGCCCCGAGGTGCTGGAGCTGCGCAACGAGAGCGGCGGCCACGCCGTCCCAGCAGGCAGCGAGACGCACTTCCGTGTGGCGGTGGTGAGCTCTCGGTTCGAAGGCTTGAGCCCTCTGCAGCGGCACCGGTTGGTTCACGCGGCGCTGTCGGAGGAGCTGGCTGGGCCGGTACACGCGCTGGCCATCCAGGCGAAGACCCCCGCCCAGTGGAGGGAGAACCCACAGCTGGACACTAGCCCCCCCTGCCTAGGTGGAAGCAAGAAAACTCGAGGGACTTCCTAACCCCCAGATGGGGAAAACAGTGATCAGAATGGGCCGAAAGAGAATAAACCTCTAAATCACTACAACCTCATGCCTTGATTTGTGTGGACCGGGCCCCCTGCCCTTTTTGCTAGCTCTTGGCTGAGGAAATCTAAACTGGCTTGGGCTAGTTAAGAATGGCTGCTGGGTCCTGATGAGTCAGAAAGGGCCATGAAGATAAATGAGAAGCTGCCTCGTGAGGTCAAAGCCGTGTTCTTAACACTTGTTAAACTGGTGTTACCTGTGTATGTGTTGGAGGGCACATGATACCACAGTGATCATGTAGAGGTCAGAGGACAACTCTTGAGTCCTTCCTCCCACCACTAAATGATTCTGGGAATTGAGGCCGTCAGCTTTATGCAGGGTTAGGCCCCTACAGGCGTTTCTGTGAGGAAAATTTTGTGCAGACTAGAGAAGGGATTCGTGAGGAAGTGAACTATTTGGGTTTTACAAGGACACCAAAATTAAACAGGAAAGGAAGAAATTCCTGCATTTGAAGCAGGAAAAGCACGGAAACAAACACTCCTGGCTTTTCGGGGGGAAGGGGGCGCAGGTGATGATTGCAGCAGCCCTCCAAAGTCCTCTGCTGGGAGCTTGTCAGAGAAAGGTGTTGCTGGCCATAGCCGGGCTGAGGATGGGCCCTTGACTAGCTTGTCGGGTTTAATCCCAGCAATGCAGATGTGAATGTCTCAGTATGTAATCTTGACCGTGTCTCACTGTGAACTGTTTCCAGATTGGACCTATTTGCACAGTAGATGATTATTAAGGCTTCGGAGCCCGATGTAGTGGCACACACCTTTAGTCCCAGCATGGGGAGCAGAAGCAAGCAGATCTCATTGAATTCAAGGCCTGCCAGGGCTAAATAGGAAGATGTCTCAAAAAAGGGGGGAAATGTAATGTGGCTTGATAGAGCAGCTAGAGTAACGGGGAGTCAAGGGCAAGCTGCAGACAGAAGTTTCCAAGGCATTGCTTACAACTGGGGCGTGGAGAGACGCTCAGCATGTGCCAGCACTTTCTGCTCTTCCAGCTATGCAGGTCTGATTCCCAGCACCCACATGGTGACTCACAACCGACTGTAACGCCAGTCTCGGGATCTAGTGCCCAGTTCTGGCCTTGGGGGGTACCAGGCACATATGCAAGGGTAACAGGGACCCAGAGACCCGCCTTTTCAGTCCCCATAAACAAATGTTTTTTAAACACACAAAATGTAGGTTTGAGGCGCCCTATTCCACAAGTCAAGAATAATAATAGAGGGGGTTTGTTTAATGTGGCTTTGGAGAAGGAACTGTTTCTCCAACACCATTTTGTCTTCCCCAGACTGTCGGGGTGGAGCTAATTGTGAGTGAAGACGCCAAGCAGCAGACAGGGCCACCTTGAACTTTAAGGATTTTGTACCCTTTATTTTTCAGCAGTATTTTTCATTTCATTTTTCACATCAATGAATCGGGTTTAGGGTTCCTCAGGAGACAAGGAAGTGGATGTGTCTCCCCTGGGGATGTAAGGGAGGGAGAGGGCTACGGCCAGCCACGGGATGGCGAGAGAAGGGGCACACACTCGAACACTGGGCACTGGAGGAAGAAGGCAGTCCTTTGAGTACAGACACCGGGGTTCAACAGTCACCGTCTGGTTCAGTGGTACCAAATCAAGGAATGGCCTTAGGGTGGAGGGCACCAGACGAAGCATGAGGAGGGTGAATTGGAGTTTTCTCTTTTGTGGTTATTTTAACTTTTTTTTTAACATTTACAAACAGCTAAAAACTACAACACGTCACAGCTACGGAGGGAGTGGGTAGAAAGTACCAAAGAAAAGCAGTCACACAGAGTAGGGTAGGAGGGGGCAGCTCTACCCACAGAGGCTGACCTAGGGAAGGGCGAGGTGGGGAAACCGAGGCTCCTGGTCCCTGCATTAGGGGTCCCTCATGCCCAACCTCTTTGGAAAGGGGTGAGGGGGGACCCCTGCTTCCTGCCCCTGCCCCAACTCCTTGTGCTTTTGGATCTGCTGGTTTGACCTTCAGCCTGGATATTTTCCCTTCTGGCCCCTGCCTGTGAGGGCAGGTCAGGTGGGAGGCCGGTGGGTGGGTCCTCTAAAGGAGGGAGAGTGAGGCCTTGTCAGGTGCCTCCAGGACTCATCCCAACCTGCCTAGTGCTTCTCCCTCCCAGCTCCAATGCAGAAGATTCTGGGAAGTAGTAGAGAAAAACAGTGTTGTCTGTGTATTCACTGAAACTACTACCCTTGGCTTATTTGAACAGTATAGTGGTACTCCTGCCCCATGGCACACATGCACACATTCGCACATTCGTGTGTGCGTGCACGCACACACACACACACACACACACACACTCCTGCTAAGCTGCCTCAGAACTTACATATAAATAAGAATCAGAAAACTAATCCCATAAAACCCAGGCTTCACCTTTGTAGCCTACATTGAGGTGAAAATGGAGGCCAGAGGCTGAGGTTTATTGCTACTCTCCAGCATCCTTGGGAGGTTAGAGGGCACCCAAGGACCTTCCCACTCAAGAAGTCCTTTTGGTCCAAGCCTCAGCCCCCAACGTAACTCCATACCTGTGGTTCACCAGGGCCTAGGCAGAGGGAATGAAGGGGAAGGCAGAAATTCTGGAATCCTGGAACAGGGAAACAAGGACCCCAGTAACACTGGGGGAGAGGAGGATGCAGCTCAGCCTTCTCCTGTGCAAAGTCGAGGGTGGCAGCAGGTGGGGAGTGCCTCATCCCGAAAGTGGGACGAGGGGCCTTCCCTATAGTCCCCGCCCGTCAGGGTCACACACATGCACACAGGCACACACAACTAAGACACCAAACACAGGGGAGTGAGAACCAGGACGGCAGGGCAGGGAAGGGATAAAAGGGATTATTGGTCTCACAGTGTGCCTGCCACCCATCCCTAAAACCTGAGACCCCCGTCCTCACTGCAGAACCTGCCCCCGGGTCTCAGGCAGCTTCAGGGCCAGAGAGCTACCGAGGGCAAGGGCAGCTGAGGCAAAGAGGATGGGAGCAGCCTTGGTGATGCCCACAAAGGACGTGAAGATGCTGATCCCCAGCACTGCCGCCAGCTTACACAGGGCATTCAGGAAGCCAAAGGCGGTGGTCCTGCTCGGAGGCCCCCGGCCGAGCCATGGTGGGCAGGACCCAGAAGACGGAAGACAGGTGGGGGAAAGTGGAGGAGGGAAAGATGGCAGGCAGTGGAGGAGAGGGGAGGAAGGACGGAGGAAGGGAGAGGCGGGAACACAGACAAATTGGGAGGCGGGAGAGAAGGAGACAGAAGCCCGAGGTTAGTAGTCAGGAGTGAACGAGAAAGCTCCCAGCCGTTAAGGACAAAGTCAGCAGGGATGTGTGTGCTATCCCTAACAGTATTCCTCCTACTGCGGCCCCCACTTCACCCCTTCTCCCCGCCCCCGCCACACTACCTCTTGTCCGAAGGGTAGAGCTCAACTGTCAGCACGTCCAGTGCGTTCCAGGATGCAATGCTGACCCCCCCAAAAAGGCAGAGCAGGGCGATCATGGCTGACTCGCTGTTCCCGAAAGACAAGAAGAAGCAGGAAACACAGGACAGGACACTGGAACCGGCTGGAACCAGAAGGGAGAGCACTGAGACTCAGCCATGGCCCCACTGGCCACCAGCAAGCTTAGCCACAGCCCCAGGTAACTGTTTCCCAAGGTAGTCCTCAGCCCCGCGTTCGTTACTATCATAACAGTGGCAACCATTCACTCAATACCAATTCTGAGACAAGTAATTTGATGACTCAGATGTACCTATCTGAGACATCAGGTGCTATTTTCATGTCCTACGTTGCAGCTGCAAGCTCACAGGGAACAGCCTGCCCATGGTAAGTGGCGGCGCTGAACTTCAAACCTAGAACCTCAAAGTCTGCACCTTACTTGCCTGTCATTCTCTTTAGCCCCCTAGAGTAACTTCTATGCCAGGTCCACCCCCATTTTGCAGCACCCCTAAACAAACATGACAGGGAGAAGCTCTCTGGCCAATCTCTTCCACGGCAGGAGGTAAGAAGCCCACTGACAGCCTGCCCCAGCCCTAGCTGCCTCCAATCTGCACCCAGCCCTCATGCCCTTACCAAGCATTCTGAGCCTGCCAATCTTGTCCATGAGCAGAGCAGACACGATATTTCCAGGAAGCACAGCCAGTGTCCCCAAGAAGCTGACAAAGTACACCATGTAGGCACCTTCCCCCGTCCCTGTCACATCCAGCGGGCAGCCTTCCTTATTGTGCAGGAACGTACTGTTCACCAGACGGCTGTTCACAAACTTGTACTCAAACAGGTCTAGGAGGTCAAGACACAGAGCAGGCGGTGAGAGCTCCTGCTTACTCCTCAGGATCTGCTGCACTTGTGGGAGTTAACAGTCAGGGACTCTCGGCATTATCCCTGCCATCAAATAAGATCGCCATGGGAACTAGCAATCTCTCCAGCAGACCGTACTCAAGAAGCGTGGCGTGTCTGAGGCTTTACTAGTCTTTGTTTCTTGTTCATATTTCTTGTCCACCTGAGCTGGCTATAAACAGGAGCCTTGCTGCTGACCTAGGAGCTGCTTCTAAAGGCAACAGTAAACATAAACTTTAAAGCCCTGCCCCCCTCTCTCTTTCTCTGCAAGGTGGGAAAAACTTGCAGAGTCCTCGACTTTGAGGAGGGATGCTTCAGTCTAGCTCACAGAGCTACCACACAGAACTCGGCCTTTTAGCTAAGACCTTTGTTTAAAAAGTAGAGGCGGAGTTTTTTCTTACATGTTTTTTAGAAAAGATTTATCTTAGTCTTGTGTGTGTGTGTGTGTGTGTGTGTGTGTGTGTGTGTGTACCGTGAGCTCTCAGAGGCCAGAAGACAATGTTAGATCTTCTAGAACAAGAGTCTAGGCAGGTGTGAGCTGCCTAATGTGGGTTCTGAGAACCAAACTTTGATCTTCTGCAAGAGCAAGTGCTCTTAACTACTGAGCCAGTTTTCCAGCTCCCTTAACAATTTTTTTTTTGAAACAGGGTCTCATGTAACCTAGCCTAGTCTCAAACTTGTTATTTAGTGAACTGGAACTCCTGATTCCTCCTGCCTCCACTCCAGGGTCCACCAGCATACTCAACTTAGTTTTTGTTTGTTTGTTTTGGTTTTTTGGTTTTTTGGTTTTTTGAGATAGGGTTTCTCTGTGGCTTTGGAGACTGTCCTGGAACTCACTCTGTAGACCAGGCTGGTCTCGAACTCACAGAGATCAGCCTGCCTCTGCCTCCCGAGTGCTGGGAGGTGTGCACCACCACCACCCGGCTCCCCTTAGTTTTTTGTTTTTTGTTTTGTTTTGTTTTTGAAGCTAGGGACTGAACCTAGAGAGCATCGCATGAGCTGGACAAGTGTTCCACCACTGAGCGGCACTCTCAGCGTATTCAATGTGTTTTCATTTGCGACAGGATCTTACAAAGTTGTGCAGGCTGGTCTTAAACTCTCTGTAGCCCAGGCAAGTTTCAATCCTGCTGCCTCAGCCTTCTGAAGAGGCGGATTACAGACCTGTGCTATTAGGCAGAGCTAAGAGGTAGATGGATGCCATGATTCCAAGCCTTTTCTGATTAAATATCCCTTTTTATTGTCTTCCTCCTCCCCAATAACCCAGTTTACCCTCTTCAAAACTATATTAACATTAACTCACTGAACTCTTAAAATTACAGCTAAAGGTAAAGAAATGTGACATTTCCTCAGATAGTCGATCAAAATACCCAGTGTTCATTATATGTCCCAAATCACTGATTGTAGCCAGTAAGCAACCCCAAGGCTCCAGGGCACTCTCAGCTTGAGAACTGTGAGCTAGGGGATGAGGAAGCCCCCTCCCTTCAGCAAGGTCCCAGCCGTTGGGTTGACACCCACTAGCCGCCTTACCAGTGTTGTAGAACACGGTGTTGATGAACGTGCAGTTCCGGAAGAATGTGTTGCTGGATGTGACGTCTTCGAAGTAACACTCCTCAAACAGCGAGTCCTCGAAGGACACTGACTTCAGACGGAGTCCGATGAACCTACAGGACCAGGGTGATGAGACATGCCCCCTCAGCCTCACGCCCTCACTGACTTACCGCCCCCCCCACAAGTGGAGATCAACATACAGGCTTTGCCCCAAACCACCCAGTCATCAAAGTGACAAGCAGAGGGACAGGGAAGAGTGGCCTGGAAAAGTCCCCACATACTTGTCATTGAAGTACTGCCCCCCTCGGTGGATCTGATTCTCCAGTGTGAAGTTAAATGTCACGTGCTCTACGCGCTCCCCCGGGAACACTTTGGTTCGGGCTGCATAGTCCACAGCCTGGAGGTGGCGGATCATGTCAGGGAACCAGACGGTCAGACCGTAGTAGCTGCAGGGCCGAAATCGTGGAGTCAAAGAGGCAGATAAGGCACCAGCACCGGTCAGAGGAAGGGGTGAGCAGCCCACCTGTGCGCTATCCCAGCCTCACCCCACACACACACCCCTTCCAGTTACTGTGGCTCTGGGACGTTAAGGTCTTCTGTGCTACCCATCGTACTCTCTGTTTACCGGGTATTTCCTCTTCCTCGGCCACTCCCACCCCTCAGCCTCCCCAGGACTTAGACCCCCACCCACCAAGCCTTGTGTGTCCCCACAAAGCTCCCTCACCTCACTGTGACGCCACTGCACTAACTTTACAGCTAGTTTTATCTGTTCCCGACAGAGTACAAAGTGTAAGCACTGGGCCATGTCTACTCAGCCCGGTACACTGTCTGCACAGGACAACAGTACAGTGCCTGTCAGCCTGAATCACAGGTTAGATGACTTCCTGAATCAAGCATCAAGAGGATGCAAACAGACAGCATCTTCCCTCACTAGTGCCCCCCATGTCCAAGTCTTCCCTCACTAGTGCCCCTCCACGTCCAGTCTCATCGCTCCCTTCTGTCCACACACTTAGCCCTCTCACCTGAAGGACATGGTGAACCATACGCCCATCATCATTAGAGTGATGCGTCGATACTCTGGACTGAAGCAGGAGAGGAAATTCCCCCAAACCTACGGGGGACACAGTGAGGGTGAAATGTGCCCACAGTAACTTCTACTCATAGGACAGGACAGTAACTTCTACTCATAGGATAGGACAGTAACTTCTACTCACAGGATAGGATAGGACAGTAACTTCTACTCATAGGATAGGACAGTAACTTCTACTCATAGGACAGGACAGTAACTTCTACTCACAGGATAGGACAGTAACTTCTACTCATAGGATAGGACAGTAACTTCCACTCATAGGATAGGATAGGACAGTAACTTCTACTCATAGGATAGGACAGTAACTTCTACTCACAGGATAGGACAGTAACTTCTACTCATAGGATAGGATAGGACAGTAACTTCTACTCATAGGATAGGACAGTAACTTCCACTCATAGGATAGGACAGTAACTTCTACTCATAGGATAGGATAGGACAGTAACTTCTACTCATAGGACACGACAGTAACTTCTACTCATAGGATAGGATAGGACAGTAACTTCTACTCATAGGATAGGACAGTAACTTCTACTCACAGGATAGGCCTCCATCTATTTACTTTCCCTCCCCCAGCTCCCCTCCACCATCACATAGACTCACGCCCCCCCAGTTCACCCACTCCTTTCTCTTTCTCCACCATCTGATCCCCCATTACCTGACTCCCCAGGCTCAAAGCCCGGACTCCCCAGCGCTGATACCAGGTCCCTGTGTCAGACTGGATCTCAATCAATTCATCCTCCTGATGAATCGTTTTAATGTGGGTCACCTGGACACAAGAAAAGGGGCGAGCTCTCACAACCCACTCCAACCGTCTTTGTCTCAGAAATAAAATAGAGGCAGGAAGTGACATAATGCCCTGGGAATATCATTGAACTCCAGTGTGGTCTGGGCCTGAAAATGGGCATCCAGAAAGGGTGGAAGGAGGGCTGCGGGGTTGGGTGGGACGCTGTTGCTTACTGAGAAGACTCGTTCAGGGTGACCCTTGGCTCGCATGTTGGTGTCATGAACCTGCTTCAGCACCATCCAGGCTTCATCATGCTTCCCATTCTAGAACCACAAATGTAATTCCCAACATGCAGTTCAGGGCTCCCAGATCCAATGTACAGAACCCAAAAAGACACCCCCAGATCCCCAAAACCCTAATCTATGGGAATACACATCAGACCGAGCTGGGGTCCAGCAAAGCATGAGCAGACTCGGGCAAGAGTTGGGGTGAGGGGTTTGCCAGCACAGATCCTAGGGATCTCTCTAGTAAGACAGAAAGGAAAAGCCTAAGATGGAGGAAATGATGGTCAAGTCTGCGGTCAGAGAAGGATCCACGCCCTAATCTGCTGGAGCCAGGTGTAGCTGGGAGATGTAATGGGTGGGCCCCAACTCGAGCCTGCAGAATCTTAAGCCACCCATAAATGAGCAGGCTTCCTGGTCTCTCCAAATCCCTCTGGAGGCACATTTTAAGACAAAGGAAGCAAGATAAAGTTCCCAGAGTCATGGAAGGAGGTAGCAGTCACAGGAGTGCGCCAACCCACAGCCAGTATTGTTACCCCTCCCCACCCCACTGAGGCAATCCATTCACCTCTAGGAAGAAGCGGGGACTCTCTGGCTGCGTAGTCAGAGCCCCGATGGCAAACACAGAGGGAAAGGCACAGACGAGGACAAAGACCCTCCAGCTGTGGAACTGGTAAGCTGAGCCCATCTGGAAACTCCACCCTGGCGGACAGTCACAGAATCAGCAAAGAAGCAGGAGCCGGGAGGACACAGAGTCTGGGGGACTCCGCTTACCATAGTGGGGAATGATAGCCCAGGCCATTGCAGCTGCATACACTCCACCAATCATCCAGAACATACAGAGCCAGCTCAAGTGCTCCCCACGTTTCTCCTGGGCCAGAAACTCCGAAAAATAGGAGAAGACAATGGGGATGGAACCACCAATCCTGTACATTGCAAAAATGAAAATTAGGAAGCAACCATCATCCCAGTCCCCGGCCCCAGTGCTCTGGGTCCTCATTCCCTCCTCTCCATCCCATATTATATTATGTCTTACAAGCTCTACTTGCCACCAGCCACCAAGTCACCATTCTGGGGATGGCAGGAAGCAGGCAAGCAGGTCTCAGGGTAAGCAAAGAACAAGCATCAAACCTTGAAGGTGGGTTAGCATTGGGAGGAGGTGAGCCTGAGGCCCACTGGACCTCTGTGTAGACAGCCTCAGAAATGGAGACAAGTTGGAGGATGCAGGGATGGACCGGACATAGGATTCTGCTTGCTATCTAGTTGGAGGATGCAGGGATGGACCGGACATAGGATTCTGCTTGTTATCTAGTTGGAGGATGCAGGGATGGACCGGACATAGGATTCTGCTTGTTACCTAGTTGGAGGATGCAGGGATGGACCGGACATGGGATTCTGCTTGCTATCTAGCAGACCCTCGACAGGCAACATAGCTGGCCTGAAGATGGGGGTGGGGAGTGGGAAAGGGGCTCATTCTCTCAATTCACATATATTTAAGGTGTGTGCCTGACGCCGTACCAAGTGCATATTGCAGCAGCGTCTTTTAGGGTGTAGGATGTGGACACTCACCCAACCCCAGAAAGGAGACGGCAGAAGAGGAAAGTGCCATAACCCTGGACGAAAGATGAGAAGAAGGCGAAGACACTATTGACTGAGAGCGAGATGAGCAGACACTGTCTCCGACCCAGCCGGTCAGCCAGGCCGCCCCAGAGGAAGGCTCCCACCATCATGCCCAGGTACACAATGAGGCCTGTGGAGAGGAGGAAACCCAAGGGGCGTGAGCAGACAGGCCTCCCTTCTCCCATCAACCGAGCAGCGGAGGGCTGAAACTCCTCTAGAAGAGTGACTCTGAAGAACCTGAGGCTAAGTCTGCCCAGAGATAAGGGAGGGTGAGAGGTGGTGATGTGTGAACAAAGACAGACAGACAGTCATCTGCAGACCAGGGGTTCAAAGGCAAGAAGGCAAATGTTTGAAAAACCCTCCCTCACGTTCCTCCCCCTCCCTTCCCCCTAGGCCCCTCCTCCTCTCTCTCTTCTTCCTCCATCAACCTAATATTCATCCCGACTCACATAGAAGTCACATGGATCTGTCTAGATTCCTAGACGCGCCGGCATCCATGATTTGCTCCCTCCCAGTCTGACTGGTTTGGTGTTTTTTCAGTTGTGTTTTCAGATGGTGTCTCACTGCGTAGACCAGGCTGTCTTGGAGCTCTCTGCAGACTAGATGGGCCTCAAACTCACAGACCCACCAGCTTCTGCCTCCTGAGTGCTGGGACTAATGGTGTTCGTTCACATCACACCTGGTCTCTCCCTTCCAACACAGTTTTCATGCCCTTAATGGAGATCTCCTGTTCCTTGGAAAAGGGACTCCAATACAAAGTTTCTCCTTCATCCTTCCAGCCCCAATACTTGGGCCCTAACATTCCTCAGTTTGTCTCTATCCTATAACCATAATCGGAATTGATTTTTAAACCATTCCCAAATTTTGCATTTTATCAATGCCCATACCAAGCCCAAGAGAGAGACCTGTCCAGGGCAAAGCCAGCCCTCTATAATTTCTCCGTGAGCCTGAGGGATTCCTCCTTCTAGATCCCTACCAAGAAAGACCATCAAAGACATTCCTGGTCCCTAGATACTCCCATGCCTGAGCTGTCCCTACCCACACCGCTCCAAACAGACCCTTCCAGTGTATAACAAACCATCCCAAAGTTGTTGTTGTTGTTTTGTTGCTGTCGCTCTGCAGCAGGGAAGGCAACTCAGCAACAGGACAGAAGGCTTGGAAAATGCACTGCAGCCCCACCCGCCGTGGCCATATCCAGCAGTTAGGCAAAATGCCACCCATTCGGACACTAGTGAAAGCCCCAATCCAGCTACACTCCCTCTCTTTCACACACAATTTCATCTACTCAACCTCCAGAAGACGGTGTCTATGGGGGGATGGTGTGTGCAGGATCAGTAGAAGGTGTCTATGGGGGGATGGTGTGCGTAGGATCAGTACCCTCTGCGTGTATTTTGCACAGCTGTTGGGGAGGAGCAGGAGTTCCCAGCAACAGGGTGTTCACAGGGCTCTTACCTAGCATGCCTTTGTTGGAGTCAGACAGGCACATATCTTTCTCAGCACTGGGCAGCACAAAGCCCACCACAAAGACCTCTACGCCATCTGCCATCAGCGCCAGACCCAGCACGAAGTACAGTGTCCACTGGAAGCGGCCGTGGCCACACTCCCGGAGGATGGTTTCATACTGCTGAGCCAATTCTTCCCGATCTTTCCGCCGCTGTGCCTCTCCCCGACCCCCAGGAGGACCCTCCCCATCACTCAAGCCCCCTCTCACTCCAGCCAGGGGTGCCCCGTCTGCCATCCGTTCGCCCTTGCCCCCAGATTCTGCCCGGGGAATGCCCTGGTATTCCCCCTCGTAGATCTCATCATCTTCATCGTGGCCTTCAGTGGCGTCACTAGAGGCGCCACCCTCCTCCTCATCCTGCGCCCCTTCTCCGCGGTAATAACCATCAGCAGGGGCAGGGAAGTCATCGTCATCATCTTCCTCCTCGAACCGGGAGTAAGACCTTCGAGAATACTCATCCTGGACCCTGTCCAGGCCCTTCACCACCTTCTTGGCCGCGTGCTTCTTGACTTCCTTGGCAATGTCCTTGGCCCCACGGATGAACGCTGCCCGGTCCCGGAAGCTTTCTTCCATGGTGGGGCTGGATCAACCTCAACCTCCCTCGATGCTTCTTTTTTCAACCTGTAGCTCAACGACTTGTGAGGTCAAGACCCTTTTCCCAGATGAAATGTGTTCCGGTATCTTTGGGCTCAGAATAAGAGGTACTACGGCCTGGTCAGTGAGGTCCCGAAGGGGAATGGAAGGTTAGAGCTTTGTTCGATACCAAGTTCACTGGGGGGGAGTGAGGGAGAGGGAGGGGAAGCAGGGGGATGGGGTGGGAAGGGAAAGCCAGGTTGGACAGGCTAAACTGAGGAGCCAAGAGATTTCAGGGAGGGCTGCCTACTTCTCTTCTAAGCCACTGGAGACCTAGAAAAAAAGAGAAAAAGGAAGTTCACTAGGCTAGTGAAGGAGGGCCACTATGGAACCCCCCCCCCCCTCTCAAGCCAGCCACAGGTCTAGACTATGTATCGCGGTGCCCCCACCTCAGGCCACCAGCCACTGAAGAGAGGTTACTATACGGGCGAACTGTGGGCACTGAACACACAAGCCCCTTCACTTTGCCCTTGAGGATTTGCTCCAAAATCGGTCAACATCCAGTTCAGACCCAACGCAAAGAAAACCCAGAGAAACGAGCACTCCCTGCTGTAGTCCCTGGAGGGTTCTCTTTGAGACAGACCTTCAGGTGATGTGCGGTAGGACAAGGCCCTCTGACCAGGTTCCTCCCTCTGCTGATGGACCCGAAGGTGGGGGGGGGTGTCTCCACAGTTCTTCCCTGGAGGTCTCCTGAGAAATTTCTCCCCACTTAGCCCAGTAGGTAAAGCTCAACCTCCAGAGTCAGATAGACTTGGCATGGACTACATGGGTGACACATTTCTGAATATCCAAGCCTTGGTTCCCCTGACTGAAAGGGGACATAAGGAGAAAAAGTGATGGAGAGCCAGTGTCGCGGGCCAGGACCAGGGAGATGCCCTACAATCCCTCCTGAAGATCCCTCAGCCACGCCTCCTCTGCCTCCTTAGGGGAATTATCAAGGAGACTGCCTGCTGGATGCAAAGCACATGGCATTTGAAGTCCCCATCCCCCTACTTGCTAACTGCGGATGGGCAGGTTGCCCCGTTTGCCTGAGCCTCAGTGTCCTCATACTTAGCTCGGGAAAATCCACCTCTCAGAGCTGTGAGCTCTAACCTCACAGTAGCAGCCCACGGATAGTAGTTTGCCTCCTCCCTATTGTATTGGAACAGTGGGAATGAAGCAGGGCAGTCAGCAGAAGGCCCTATGGGTCGTTATGCCCAGGGTCCTCCCAAGAACTCCGTGTTCCGACTGACTCCAGCAGCTGGGATTAGTTACACGCTTTGTAGACCAACAGGATAAGGAGCCCAAAAGGGAGACTTGGAACCTGGGTATAAGGGTCAAGAAGGAGGATCATGAGCGAAGAAGAGACAAGTAGCTGCTATCACCTTCCTCCCGAATGTCACATGTAGGCCCCCTTTCACATGGGTAGGAGTACGGATGATTGGTGTCTGAAGTCTAGAGCTGTGCCTCATTCCTCCAGGGTCTCTCTTCCTAATCCCCCTTAATCCCTCTGCTTCTTCATGAGTCAATGAAAAAAAAGAGTCCACAAATACCGCAATGCGTAGGCAGCTGGTGGAGAATGAAGGGAGCCCAGGACTTTCCCCCTTAAAAAAAGACACCCCACAAAGGGATGCATAAGATATCCTCCTTTGTGGCAACAGAGGACACAGGCCTAGATTCTGAGCAAGATCACTCCCCTAAAACAGTCCACTGCTCCAGCCAGAGCCTTGACTAATCACACACACACACACACACACACACACACACACACACACACACCCATGCACGCACAGGCACACACGCACACACGTTAGTGGGAAAGGGTAAATAATGCTATGTCATTCAGAAATGAAGCCCAGACAAGGACAGATGTAAGCAGTTGCTGTTCAACAGTGACCAGAGCAGTGACCCCTGCATCACCTTTTCTTCATGGTTCAGGGACCAACCATTTTCAGTGCAAGGCAATGTTTATTCTCTTGCCTTTCTTTCCCAACCATGATCTCCCCTCAAACCCTGAAGGAAGCATTTGAAGCCACCAGGAGCTGTTCCCTATGCCTGCTAACATTGTTTACCCCTCATCGGTGACTATGGGGGTAGGAAAGGCTCGCACAGCCACAACAGTCGATGCTGGCTCAACAGCCAGCTTCCCCAGGGCCAACAAGCCCAGGAGAGAGAGAAAGAAGACAAATTCTTTGAGCTGCTGAGGAAGTGGCGCTATATTTAGCCTGCAAAGCAGCAGAGTGGCTGAGCCTGAGGGAGACAGTCCCGGGAAAGGTGGAGTTAAAGGAGACCAGACTGGGATTTACCAAGTCCTTTAAGGCTGACTGGCTTCACCTGACCGGAAGAAACGTGTCCAGATTTTCCGCAGAAGGTGGAAAGGGCGTCTGGAAAGGACCTCATAAGCAAACCTTTCTTCAGAACATCTGCTCAGGTCTAGACCAGGCCCCTAATCAAAGCCCTTGATTTGAGGGCCACCCAGGTTTTCAGCCCATCTTATCCCAAGTCATTAAGAAGTGACAAGGTCATTAAGAAGCAGTCTTTTATCAAAAGGGTCTCATGGAAAAGGATGAGGGACGGAGAAGGTAGAGTGTGGGGGATTCCTGAGCACCCTTTTTATCACAGCTTGATAACTGACCCTTCTACCCCTCCGCAGGACCAACAAGGTTGAGCCTCACCCCTACAATGTACCCCTGGGTTGGGAAGATGGGAGCATCCAGTTTTGTCAGGGAGGGAAAGGTGTCAGCTGAGGAAGGAGGGTGCTCAGGAGAGGCCGGGCTGCAGAGAGAACACTCCCCACACGCACAGGCTCAGAGACCGCCTCTCCCAGGATGGCGGAGACCCCCCCCACCCTCCCCTAGCCTCAGCTCTGGTGGAAGGCATGAGGCCTCGGGCTGACTTCCCACCCGTGGTCCTGCTGCTGGCCCGGTGCCCACCACCGTTCTCCCCCCCCTCGCCCCCCTCAGAGACTGCCCCCAGCCTCAAGCCCCTGGTTGCTTCCCATCTCTGTCTCTCCAATGTTTCATTCCTTCCGTCATTCACCAACCCTACTCCTCTGCCCCTAACCCACCCCAGACCAGGCAAGAGAGGCCCCAGCCAAGGTCATATTTATCATGGGATGGGGGGGCATACATCAAGGTGAGGAGGGGACTGGAGTTTGAAGGAAACCCAGCTTACCTATCAACCCCTCACCCGGTTTATCTCCAAAAAGTGTAATGAGGACTTAGACTAACGTAGAAAAAAATTCTCATTCATATATATATATACATACATGTGTGTGTGTATAAATACATGTATATATGTATGCATTATCTACGTGTGTATATACAAACAGACATATATGTGTATATGCACATATATGTTTATTTATTCAAATATATTCTCAAAGCAACGGAAAAAAATTGCCCATTCCTCAAACCGATACCACCACCACCCTCACCCCTACAGTAGGGACAGTCACCCTCCTCATAAGCAAAGCATCAAAGATAAAATGGCTGCAAGGCTAGGCAAGGATGCTTCTGCCTTGGGCGGGGTGGAGGTGAGGGGAGAGGGGTCTCACCTGAGCTGGGTTCCCCGGGTCAGGGAGTCCCTGGGTGAGGGAGGGGGTCCAGCCACGGGGCTGAGGCGGCAGCAGCGACTGCTCCTCGTACCAGGGGAAGCGGCACTGCAGACCTGCCCCCCGCACGCGCTCCGGCCCCGCCTCCGGCCCCCCTCCCCCGCGCCAGTGAGCATCGGGAGAGACCATTGTTGGGGGGGGCGAAAGAAAAGAGGATGGGGAGGGGACACAGGAAAAAAAGATGATGGAGGGACTGAAGGGGATTGTCAGGGCGACAGCTGGAAATGACAGTCTTTCCCAGCCCCTTCCTCCTAGCAAAAGATGACAGAAACTAAGGAGGATACTAACACTGGTTAGGGGAGCAAGTGGGGAGACAGGCAGGGGATGCTGAATGAAGCAGCCTCTTCTTTAGTTCAGGGTGACTGAACCCAGGAGTCCCAACCCCCGCCGCTCTTGCTGCCTTAAAAAAGCTCACCCCCTTCTACACTGTTCCATGGAATGAAGAACGACTCTCTGAAGCCCACGGCACAGAGCACAGGCTCACCTAAGTGAAAGCAGAGATAACAACGTATGGTTTCGGTACCCAACTGCCAGAGTCGGTGACTCCTGGGTCCCTGCCATCTGTCTCCTGCAAAACCAGTCCAGACTGTTTACCTACAAGACCGACCTCCTCCCCTTCTTTTCCATTCAGTGGGTGGTATTGGAAGCCGGTGCTTGGGAAGGGATTTGTTTGTTTGCAAGTCTGACCAGCTGGACATTTCCCTTTCCATCCACTCACTCTCTCCAGTGACTCAAAAAAAAAAAAAATAACCCCATCAATCAACTCCCCCTACCCTCTTCCAGAGGAAGTGAACTGGTTTGGGTTCTCGGTTTTTTTCTGGCATCTCTCCTGTGTCATTGTCGGATAACCTGGACAGATCCAAGAGCTATCACTTGGTGACCATCTTTGCTCCAGAACTCAGAGATGGTTTGAGGATGTACACCCTGAACCAGTCTACTCCAGGTAAAACGGTGGGGTTATCTGGACAGAGCACTGACCAAGGTCTAGTTCCGATTTCCACGTCTGATACACTGTTGGCTATTAGTCAAATCTGTGAACCTCAGGTTTCTTGTCTAGAAAATGGAGTGATTTGGACTAGGTGCTACATGGTCTTTTCTAGACACTGTATGAGTCTGCTTGGTTAAATGTTGAGGTATATTAAATACTGAAGACCGGAAGCCTGTGTACTGAGTGAGTTCCCAGATGTAGTTAGACATGTTAAATGTGCTGATAGGAATGCGGACCTAAGTTTTATAGGACCCAATGCTGAACTTTGGAAATGTTTGAGTCAATAAAGTTCACAATTTACTGAAAGGCATCGTACATACTAGTTTAGCCCCCCAAAAAATACCTCTTACCTAGACTGAAAATGCTTGTCCAGTACATCCTCCCCCTAAAACCAAACCATGTCAATGTATAGTTGCTCAGTGACATTACTGAACAAGAGGCTTTGTATCTTTAATGGCATCTGGCCATCCTCAGTAGGATGTCAATGAATCCAAAAACTCACCTGGCAACAATTCTCTGCCCCACCTCTTGGGAAACCTTGCCAATGTTCTAGAAGTACTCTAAAGCTGCTGGCTGAAGTACTCTTTCCAGGATGGTACACACAACAGCTCTGCCCACATGGGCCTCAGGAAACTATCCTTTACTAGGCTTTCATTGATGAAACTTAAGGTCAATACATCTTTTAATTTACATACATTATTTCCCATCTTAGGTCATAGCCAAGCCCTGCTGACAGGAAGCTGCTTCTCTTAGAAGTGATTCGGCATACTCTGCACTCACATATTAGCTTACCAGAAGAGTGTACTCATTGGCCAAGAGTGGTAGAGCAAGCCTGTAGTCCCACCTAGTCAGGAAGCGGGCGGGTCACAAGTCCCACACCTGCCTGGGCTACAGAATGAGTTTAAGGCCAGGGATAACTCAGGGGGTGATTGGATCCCCAGGACTACAAGCAAACGAAGAAGGGAAACAGAGTTTCTCTTTAAATCTGAGGGAAGACTTAACATGAGCTTCCTCGTTCCCTGGATGCATTAACTCTCCAGTTTCTTCAGGTTCGGCACTGGGCCCTTCTAGCTTCTTACTCATTCCCCTTGTTCACATCATGCAGACCCACAACTGTGTTGCTGTGTATGTAGGTGATTCCCATATTTCCATCTCCAATGCAGATCCACCTCCCCCTGCCTAGTCAGCATACCACCTTGATGTCTGCTACACGTATTAACCAGGCAGCTGGAATCCCGAGCCGAAAGGCCACAGCTGAAGTAGCATCCTCCCTTTTACCTCAGTGTTGTTTTGAAGCGTTCCATGGTCATCAAGTGAAAAGAGATAAAAAGCACTAATACCTCCAGGAGACCCCCACCCCCTCTGACCTCCGCTGGTCTCAATAACACACAGCTTCTGTGTAACATCTGCCCAGTGCATGGCCAAAGTCCACCTTTCAAGATGAAATTCAGCCAGGAGCTGTGGAACCCTCATGCCAGCATTCTATGAGCAGAGGCAGGAAAACAAGGCAGTTTGAGGTCAGCCTGAGTTAAGGTTAGCCTAGACCATCATTTTTGTTTTTCTGTGTATCCCTGGCTGCCCTAGAACTTACTGTGTATCCCTGGCTTTGAACTCAGATCCAGCTGCCTCTGCCTCCTGAATGCTGGGATTAAAGGCGTGAGTCACCATGCCTGGTTAGTATCACCATGCCTGGCCATTAAGACCATCTCTGACCAGAAGACTACATTCGGACATCACCATTCTTCTCAGAAAGTCCTCCTGAGCTTCTAGACCATGTCAGCTATCTTTTACCCCACTCCCCGAACATGTTTCAGGAACTGTGTCTTGTCTCAGATCTGACAGCAATACTCGCTAAGCTTGTGTCCTCACCACTAGAAGACAGAGCCTTTGTAGGAACCATGAAAATGTTACACAGGTGCAAAGAATGTGAATAAGATTAGGAATAAGATATAAACTTGATATGCTGAAAATGAACATCTATTTGCCCTTACTCATTTTGTCTGGCAATTACTTAAGACATTTATATGGCTCCAAATGAAAAGCCACGTTATGAGTACACACAGTAAGTGAAGGTTCAGCTGAACACGGTAGTGCACACCTTTAATCCCAGCAAAGACAGGACGATCTCTGGGTTGGTGGTCAGCCTGGTCTACACAGTGAGTTCCAAGACAACCCCAGGGTTTCAGGGTTCCAAAGACCATCTTCCCAGGGATAATTTATAAATAGATATTGATCAATTTTTTAAATATAAGCAAACACACTCGTGTGCTACCCCTTAGATAGGTAACGCACATCACCTATATAGGCATGTACTGTGCAAATACACGAATACGCATTAATTTCATTTACTACGACCTACCACCTACACATATTTCACAAGAATCTTTTTCCCTCTGGTGTCAAAGACAGAGCCTAGGACCTGACAACTGCCAAGGATGCACTCCTCCCCATTCCCTCTTGGCTGTTTCAAGGCTGCACAGTGCTGTAGTGTGTGGATTCACCAGTTTCACACAACCAGCTCCTTACCGACACTTTCCAACTGAACTTCACACAGCGCTCCAACGGATTCTTTCGTGCGTTACGTTTTTACTAACATATCACCAGATATTTCATTTCTCTTGTTAATGTTCCCAATGTTACAAACCAGGTCTACTCTAAGAAGTGACTGCTCTAGTGCAGACGTCTGCTAGTTAAGTCACTGTAGCCCAGCAACAGCCGCAGTCAGAAAAAAAACTACAATGTAAACACCTTCCTCTTTTATACCACAATACCCTGACTTCTAGTAAAAGTTACTTCACCAGAGAATAAGCAAGAAGTATAATTTTATTTTCTCTAAAGTTGTTTGGTAAAACAATTAGGACCAAATCAACATTTTAAAACAAAATGAAGAAAAACCCCTATGGAAAAAAATGACATTGAAATGGGGACAGAGTTGCTGAGAGGGGTCAGTACATTAGCCATGACAAGCTATAGCAACTCTGATTGGTCCAAGAAATGAAGATACTGAGAGGACATAAGAGGGAGACAAAGGATGGCAATTTACTGAGGAAGTGGGCCCCGAAGTGGACCACGAGGAGGAACTGGGGGCCGTGGAGTGGGTCTGGGTGGAGGGAGGGGCCCCCGCTGGTAGCCATAGGGAGGGGGTCTCGGAGGACCAGTGTATCCATGAGGGGGCATCAATGGAGGAGGCCCACGCATACCGTGTGGAGGCATGGGACCTGGGTGGCCTGCAGGAAGAAAAAGAAAAGTTAGTAAAGTGAAAATAAGAAGCAGTTGATGCTGAGAGATCAGTAGGGGATAAGAATAAGAACAGAAGAAATGTGAGAAGTCAAAGAAAGGACATGGGAGAGAGCGATGACAAAAATGCTGTAATAATACATGCAGAATCAACAGCTTCCTGACACAGGCCCCTAGAACCCTAGCACTGAGGCATACTCTGTGGGTATGGAGGTCCCGTGTCTTTAACACACACACACACACACACAGACACACACACACAGACACACACACACACACACACACACACACACACACACACGTATAAATATATGGAAGGGTAAGGAAGGGGCTAGCACCCACTCACCCATGGGAGATCCAAAAGGAGGCCCTCGGGGGGGCATGCCCATTGGAGGAGGTCCAGGATGAGGCATTCCAGGAGGTGGCCGGGGTGGTGGCTGTCCTCCAGAGCCTGGAGGCCCGGCATGGGGATGTCCTAGGCCATGGGGGCCATGATGGGCCAGCTGCATCTGAGACATCCCTATAAAAATAAAACACAGGGCAAAGAAAACAGAACAAAATGACAAAAGATTAAGACAGGGTTGACGCTCTAGCCTTTCAATAGTAAAATCTAACCAATTCTGCAGGCTCTTCATCATCCTATGATTGTCTTTTCTTTAAACCAACACTTGTTTGAAGGTGACTGACAGCAATGGTTAACATAGCCACGCTGCTAATTGACCTTCAAGTTTGTTTAGCACATCAGAAATACCTTTTTTCTTGATGTGGAGAAAAAAGACAATGAAATGTGCGCTCATTTTTCTTCTAGGATTCAAGCATAGAGAAGCCGACAGCAAAGCATACAGCAAGCAGTTTTTCTGCTCTACAACAG